TATTGAATAGCCTCTGTGTATGATAATGTGCTATACACAAATTTGCCTTGCCTTATCAGTCATATACTCAATTTGTATAGCAAGGAAAATGGAGGGTATTATATCATTTATATACAGTGTCAGTTCTCAAAGTCAAACATGTGCCCTGGCAACTCCAGATGCCATTATTTCCCATAAAATGTCTAAACTCATAGATGTATTCGCACTGCGAGAAACTCCTGATATCTGATTTGCTGTGTGTGATTTAAGTTGTAGACTTAAACCTTTAAACATATGTGCATGTATTTGCAACTATCATTATACAGGTTATACAAGTTTTACCAGTTTCACTGTTTTGATCTTTGCTTCATGATTTTTCTAACTATACTGAAGTAAATAGGTAACAAGTGTTTTTTTATTCTTTCAGTTAAGTTAGTGGCAGTACTTTTTTTTATAATGTTTTACCATCTGCCACACAGAACTTAGTTTTTGCTAAAGTATAGTATGTATCTAACAAACAGGAGCACACCACATAGCTCTGACTGGGTCTTCTCAGTGGGAAAACAAAGAGCTATGTTTCATGTTATCGGCCGTTCAAGCCAGTCAACAATTGATTACGCTCCTCTGCTCTCTCTTAATCACACGTAGAGCTGATCTTTGTGAGAGTGAATTGCGATGCGTATGATTAAATTTCAATGAATAGCCTTTATGATACTTGGTGCAGTGGCCGTGTATTGCTGTTCTTCTGCGAGGGATATGTGAAGGAGGGCTGCATTGTGTACTGTTCCCAAATATGTGTGGGAAAGCTCAGTCTGTCAAGTGGAAAAATGCTTTATAACTGTATTATGTTTTGAAATATGTTTGTAGTGGTTGTCCATTCTGAAACTGTTTTGCTATAGGAGTGATGGAGGTACCTCACTTTAAATCACTTTTATTCCCCTGAACATTCATCCAGGGAGAATCATTGAGCTCCAAAGTTTGTCTGGCTTCTTTGAGGCTAATTCTTACTGGAGTGGGTGAAAGATGTTTGTGTATAAGCTTTTTTATATCTAAAAAGATTAAAGCATCAGCAAATGAAAGACATCTGAACAGTGTGGTGATTTATTGTATGCTGCGGATATGTGACGTTTTAAGATTTAAGTTCTGAAGTTCCAATAATGCAACCAAAAGTACATTTCATAAATGTCCACTTAACACATCCTCAGTTGGTAACACTGACTTTCTGTTCA